ATATACTCACAGACTTGTACACATACTGTACACAGCTCATGATTTGGTCTCCAGTATTTAACACTCCAGGTTTGGAGAACAGATCAGACAGTGTGTAATAGCAAAGAAAGGAGGATGACTAAAGTGCCTTTTAAGCTGTGAAGATTTTTATTTCCTATATGCAGGTTCAGTTCCGTAGAGATTACTGAACTGCTCTCTCATGGAGCATCCTACCAAACAGTCTGAAACATTGTCTGAAACACTGCAAGATCTCCAATGGATTTGAGCTTCTGTGTGCATTTACATATTGCAGTTTTTCAGTGTGCATACAATAACCCTACCACAAAAAGAGATCTACGTGCCCACCCACACTGTCTACTGAAGCTTGAAGTTACACATGCTGAAACAATCTACACATGCTATACAATCCTCCAGAGAGGGCGTGGGAGACAGTACACTCACACTCACAGAGGCAGGAGCAGCCTGGAATTTCCAGCTTCCCCACGCTGCTGAAAGCCCCATTCCTGTTGTACAATGATTAAGAAACAGAAACTGCAGAGTAATGTAGGGCTGAATGCTGCAGCCACTTCTCTTGTGTCAAGGCTGGTAAAGCTGAATATTGAAAGAAACAAAACTCTGCATGAGATCAGAACGGATGCAAACAAGAGGAGGCCGTTCAGCAGATCAGAGCAGCCAGCGGTTAATCGATCTGAGCATCTCATCCAGCTGTTTCGTGAAAGAAACTGGGGTATCGGCTTCAACAACGGTTGGCTGTCTCGTTCCACACCCTTTGTGTCAAGAAGTACCTCCTGTTCTAGCTTTTAAATGCACTTCTTCGTAGTTTCCACCTCTGCCCCCCGCCCACGGTCATGTTTCAGTGTTCATTCAGCAACAGCAAGAAAAATCATAGGAATGCTGCTATCATCTTATTTCTCCTGCAAATTCTACCATTTCCACGGAAAAGGTGACGCATGGATACCATGGATAAGAAAATCATGCCAAATGCTGCTTTAATTCAAATGGGAAATGAATTCTTCCCTGCCCAAAGGAATGTGACCTGTGTCTGATATTTGTTTGGCAGTGTGGGTGAGTGGGCTGGATCACATGCAGTGTGTAAGTCAGTCTTAAAGGCAACAGGAGCATCCCTGAGCTCAGGCAGAACTTCTCTTATTCACTTTATAAGCATAAGAATGTCATGTCATTTGCCAAACCACTTTATACCATATAGTGTTTCGGGAAGCTGGAGCCTACCCGGCAAGCAACGAGCACAAGGCAGGGTACACCCTGGACAGGGCGCCAGTCCATCACGGGGCAAGTACAAGCCAATCATACATGGGGACAATTGGGAGGACACTGGGATAACTCCCTACTCTTATCGAGAAATACCCGGGGATCTTTAATGGCCACTGAGAGTCAGGACCTCGGTTTAACGTCTCATCCGAAAGATGGCAACCACTACAGTACAGTGTCCCCGCCACAGTACCCACACATTAGGACCCACACAGACGGCAGGGTGGTGTCCCCATCCGGTCCCACTAACACCACTTCCAGCAGCAACCATGGAGGTCTCACATCCAGGTACTGACCAGGCTCAACCCTGCTTAGCTTCAGTGGGTAGCCAGTTGAGAGCTGCAGGGTGATATATTTGCTGGCTATTCTAAGAAAAAGAATAAAGAATAAAGAATATGAAATGTGCTGTTTTGTGCTTCTCTGCACAGTGTGTTTTCTGTTTGGCGCTAATTGATAGCTGCTTCTGGTAAGAGTGGTGTCACCCCAGCTCCCGTCCCAGAAGCACAAGGCACAAGGGAGAGCAGGTCTAGACTCTGTTGCAGGGCCCACACAGCCATACCCAGTTACACAGAGGGGCAGCTCAGAGACACCAGTTCACCTAGTCAGGGTGTCTCCCGGCAAAAGCCTCACAAACCTGGACAGAGCACGCAAGCACCACACAGAAGGTGTCCAAGTCCACAGTCAAACTCAGCAGCTCTTCAGATTCGCATGCGATAGAGAGCTAAGAAACCATGACCAGGTTTTGAATGACCTGGGCGTTGTGACAACGTGTAGTAAGTAAGAGAACGCATGGCACAGGACAAACATGTCCGCCTCTCACCGAAAACACTCCCCAAACAGGTCCAGAGGAAAGTTAGAGAACGTTAAAGCAATTTCTTCTAATGAGCTGTGTGATCAAAACAAATGTTTGAATTAGAAGAATAACATTTGCAATACTCATTAGCGAGTGCACAGACATTTAAACATAGTGTATTAATCTTCATCACTCCTCTACAGACATTTCATACAGCAACATAACAAAGATTACAAATGAGAGGAGACCATTCGGCCCATCTAACCCATTTAATAACTAGTCGGTGATTGAGCTGAGCCATACAGCCACTTTTTAAGATGGATTGTTTCTATACACCCACAACCCTGTGTGTAAAGAAGTACCTCCTGTGCTGATCTGAGAATCTCATTCAGCTGTTTCATATGGAAACAAAAAAAACCTCCAACCACACAGCGGGGTAGCTTGTTCCACACTCCCACCACTCTTTGTGTAACGAATTGCCCCTCGTGTTTATGACCTCTAGCTGGTGTTGCACTGTTGATTCTGAGGAAGCCCGCTGTGTTGACGTTTGCTGTTGCCTTTCGCCATTGAAGATCGTGAATACTTGGATCAGGCCCCCTTCTGGTCTGCTTTCTGCAAGAATGAACAGGTAAAGTTCTTTTCACCTGTCAGGGTAGGGCATTGCTTTAAACCAAGGAATGTATCTGCTTGCTCTTCCCAGTACTGATTCCAGATTGCCTTTTGTTATGATGAAATGACCACAGATACACACAATATTCTAACTATAGTTTACACATTGTGTAAACAGTATATAACAAAATCATTGTACAATCTAGCATAATATCCCTAAATTGATCTGTACCTTTAACTATGGTTTTTCACATGCCCTTTTATTGCCCTCCACATTGCCTAGAGGGTGAGTTTTGTTTCCAGATACGCCAGCTTAAAAAATAAGGTTAATGCTTATCCTGCTGTTGCATCTTCATCAGACATGAACAACAACAACAAAAATAATAATAATCCATCCGTCATTAATTTCTGTGTAGTCCCACACGAGGTGCTGGCGAGTAATAATTAAGTGTCTGCCTGTGCTTTGAGAAGGAAAGTGAAAGTGTTTCCTAGTGAAATGAGATCATTGATGGATTGGTTAACCTTGGCAAACACACACATTTTTAAACACTTATAGTATAGTATACTCTGGGTACTTTTCCACCCAGGAGCTCCTCCCACTGGCCCTGTTCACAAACCTTCTGTTAAACTTTTTTTTCCAGACTATTTGTCAGCACGTGCTCAGCCTGTGTGTATATAAACAGCCCAGCCTCCCTGACATTAGACTTGTGCTTGTACATTTCACTGACTGAACAGAACTGCGGCACAGAGAGACCCACGGGGCTTCACAGGAGAAAGATGGGTCAGGGGACATTCAAGGAGAACTGTGGTAAGATGTTCCACCTCATCACATACCGATAATTTCATTTATTATTTTAATATAATGTAAGGATTGTTGTGCTGCAATATGTACCTAATGTGTCAGAGGGTTAATAGCATATTATCTATGAATTAATATGTACTGAGAGCACAAGCAATAGACTTCTAAGAAGCAATCTTTTTCAGTTATAATGTATTTGTAAAGATTTCCAGCTGGGGGAAAAATAAGCAGCCACAGTGAGATATAAATTATACATGTACAGTATGTACAGTACAGTGAGTACAGTTATTATGCAAAGCAGTAATTATCCATCTTCCCTATGTTATGAAAAAAATTGTGTTCACATATGTACTGTGCATACAGCATGAGGCTTGAAATTGATGACACAGGTACATGAGGGGCTACTCAGCCTCATGGCAATATGCTGCATGAGAGACAGAGGCACACTGTCCTTAGAGCACATGCAGAACACTCAAACTACCCAGTCATTTCATCCTTGTTTATGGTTTATCCTTTTCCCGGAAGAGAATGTGGATGCTGAAAATACTGAAAACCATTAGTAATTTAATTAATAAAATCAATACTGCAGATCACTGAACTACAGTAGATTAGGTCTGCGAATGCTCTTTGAAACTGTCCTCTGCTAGTGAAGTGGAACGATGGCACGAGGTGTAGATGTGATTCCCAGCACCCATGGGCTCCTGTCTGTGGTTAGTGGAGTCATCTTTGTAGGCTACAATTTTAGCAGCATGGAGCTGATTTGCTTCAGACTTTTTTATGGTGGAGGGGAAGGGCTACAAACGGAGGAAATGGGAGAAAGTTTAAAAGCCATTGTGTTGTAGTTATTGGAGGAACGCGAGTTATTGGACTGTTTTCAAAGCTGAGTTTTTCAAATCATAACAAAAACATCCACACTTCCTATAATCACAGTTTCTGTTACGAAACACTAGGTTAGATGACTGCTTTGGAGCCTCAATGTTATTTACATGCATCATTAATACATATTACACACATATACCCACAGACACATTGCAGGTAATTGTTTACAACAAGGATCGGTATTTTCAATGCTTTTACATAGGAAGCAATTCATAATTTCCTGTTTAACATGACTTTAGGTCACATTGCTTTAATGGGAGAGTAGCACTTCCTGCTTCTCCTCATGAATTAATTATGACTCAGTGAGTCAAGGTACTGTACAGTGTTTCCAAATGCATACCAGGTTCACGTGCATTTAATGTATCCTTTGAAAAAAAGTCTTGGATGGACGTCACTTTGATCTGTTTGTGAGCCTTTTGCAAATCCTGGGAGTCTTGTGTAAATGATGCTTTGGACACGGTTTGCTGCCACAGTGGAGGTGATTTGATATGAGAGGCAGAAGAAAAGAGTGAGAGAGGAGAAAGGACAGGCAGAGAGACCGAGTGAGATATTTGCCTGGGTTGTGCGAGTCTGCAACAGACGACCCAGCCATGCCAAGGATGCTGACACCCTGTCTTATTTCAAGAAACAGTTGGGTGCCATCCTCAGATTAATGAGCGACTAACGGCCAAAAAGTCTAAATCGATCAAATGGTCTCCTGGGGGCTGTAACCTTCCTATGTTAGTAAGAAGCAGAATTAATATGAATATTGCATCGCTAGTAATCTTATTCCCCAGGGTCTTTCATGAGATAAGAGCTGACAAGAGTCTGTTATTGATTAGCGGCTGTGCAGTGCAGGAAAGGTGTCTTGTGTGAAGCAACAAACGAGACACTGCGAGAATATAGCGCGGCGCTGCTGCAGGAAGTCAACACTTATAGCCACCGTCTCCTCGCAGCCAGTGGCTGTGGCTTTTTTACACTCACACGTACTGTATATTTACACTTGACCACAGCGGTGCGCGTATAGACATACGTGTGCTTGCAGAGTCGATACGAAGGAGGGTGCTGTACGTCTTTGAGGATCTCTTTCCAAGCCTGCCTGTAAGATGATGAACAAGACACTGAGAATGTTAACTTGGAGGAGCCTGGGTTTGGGAGAGCAGGAGTGTGGATATGCAGAACGTGGCCAATAGTGATGTGCTGTGGGTGCTGACCTGTGGTGTAGCCCCCTGCAGTGGACAGATATATCTGTATATCTGAGAGCATGCCTTGCGCTTCATGTGTGAACCCTCTGGCCTGTGTGCCAGTAGATCGCTCCAGGTTGGATGGGCAGTGAAGTGGGCAAACAGAGGACTTCAAACACATGGTGTGTGCCAGCCAGCAGAGCCCCCTCACTGCCAAGACTTTGCTTTCATGATCCACATCTGGCCAGGATCATCAGAGACTCCTCTGAGCCGGGGAGCAGGATGGGCAGAGCTGATCGGCATCCGATCACTACGTCCGGGCGGGCTTGAGTGGGCTAGGGCATCTTAAATGTGCCCTGTGCCACCACGACCCCTGTGTCCTGCCTACCACAAGTGTGCTTGAAGCTGGAGCAGTCTGCTTGCGAGATTGACAGTGCCCATGGCGTTTTTCAGAGGGATGTGTGCGCATGCAAACTGCTTCTGTACTGGGACATCTTGCTGCTTTATACCAAGAAGCTGTGAGCCCTGTCTTGTCAGCTTGGAAATGCAGGTTCCATTACAGAAAGGACAAAGGCAACCATGCAGTGAGAGTCCCACGGGCACCGTCCCAAGCTCACAGCCAGATCAGAAAGAAACCCCAACTAAAAGCTCATAAAGATACAGTATACTGCATACAATAACAGGGGTATACAATCAAGCACAACAGTATGCTATAAAACAATCTGCAATAAGAAATACAGTTTCTTTGTATACTGTCGCAGTGTTGAATGCCAATAGTCCTGTTATACACGGAGATCTGGGCGATGATAGAGTGCAGAGAGGGAAAGAGAGCCAGTGTGGGTAGCAGGACCTGACAGAGAAGAGCAAAGAAATGGAGACGAGGGACAGGAGGAGGGGGAGAGGAAGTGTGGCCTAGTGGCTAGTGAAAAGACAGCCTCAAGGTCCTCTGTAGACACTGCAAGTTGGCCGCCAGTCCCTAAGAAGAAGTTCCTCTCGATGCACCTGTGTGTTTCTCGCCATCCCACAGCACTCACTGGACAGGTGCTGAAGAGGACACACGCAGGGAACTTTCTCTTTTGGGCTCACCAGCGCTTTCATTTTCACCCACCTTATTGTTTTTATTGTCATTCCGGAGTAATTCAATATGCTGTGATCCTGGCCAAGATCACAGAGCTTGAAAGATAAGTGACTAAAAGATACAAGACATAAAAGATTAATGGATACAAGAAGGTCATTGAAAACCTGTTTTTTTCCCGTGCAGTTTCCAGTAAATGACAATTGGCACAACTCTAGATTACAAGCCCAGCAGACAGCCAGGGAGCAGGAGAGAGGGATCGAAAGAGTGAGCAGGCAGGAGGAGAGAGGGACTGGAAGAGTGAGAGAGAGGGAGTGAGGGACTGGAAGAGTGAGAGAGAGGGAGTGAGGGGCTGGAAGAGTGAGA